GAAACCTCCCAACTTTGATCGTTATTCTCCCCCAACCTTTCCTTCTGTCCCATTTGATAACCACTTCCGTAGACATCGGATATTTGCACGTCAGTCTGCCAATCAGGGAAGTGGTCAACTGCATACAACCGCTAATATTCGTCGCTCCATTTTTAACAATCAGACAGCGTCTTCCTATTATTATTATTATTATTATTATTATTATTATTGTAGCCTTTATTGTCCGAACCTCCAAGTAAGCTGACCAATAAGCTAATCTTGGTCGCAATCATAACACCTTTCTATAGATGTCTACCGCATTTTTGAAACCCAAATACAAGATTCAAGAATAGCGATCGGGCTTAGGCACCTTCACTGTCTAGACGGTACATGCAACGAAATTCGGATGAGTTCTCAACTGCCGCAGTTGCCTGCATCGATCTTAATACGGCTCTCAGCTGCATAACTGAGACTTCCATGCTGGAATGGATGCCTGTAAAGTGTTCCTTCTATGCCTTTTGTATGTCCACTTCCGTAAGGACTCGAGCGAGTCGAAATAATAACAGATTTCGTTAAGAGTTCCTGCATACACACAAAACAACTTTAGCCCTGATTCTGTGGAATACACTTCGTATTAGGAAAAAACATGCGTATCCACCAATAATTGTTTAGATATGGTCCGAATTGTATGAGATTTCGGAGGCACACGCTGTTCAGCTAACTGAAGTTACCCTATTACTGGAGCCAGACCTATTACGTAGCCATTGACTACCGGTGGCGAGGCTCAATACTCGATTGCTGAGCATTCTCAAAATACGCATTTTGACTATGAATATGCTGTAGCTGTCACTTCTTGACAAAGGGCACTGCGTACATTCGGAACCACAGCTTAATACACTTAACCAGTCTGTTGGACGTCAGCTTAGACGGAGTTTGTGTGTGGATAGAGGCACTGTGAAACCAACAGTCTCAAAGGATGGAGTGCGCCATGGGTATCACGAATTAGCCACTCAAGTGTTAGAGATTCATGCGGCGATCTCACCTGCCAAGCCACAGTGACAATTTATACAACTACTATGTGTTGAAACATCCCATAACCTCGTGTGCTCGGTAAGTATGAACTCATACTATGTAGGCGCAAAGATCCCGCCAAATGACTGGATGACTTCGGCCAGTTCACCCAAAAGTACCTATGCCTTCTTTCTCCTCGAAGACGAGAACGGAGTGATCTACATATTTCAGATCGACAAGGCTTTCGTCAAGATCTATTTGAAAACCATGGTTTTGAGGGACCTCTTTCTCATCATCTCGTCGATCATGAAATTAAATAATAATAGAGGGAATGGACATGCTTGTCAGGCATCATTTTGTGTAGAAAACCTTTATAGCCTCCAGAATTGTTGTTGAAGTTTTTCAGCACGTCGGCCGAGGTGTCCTTCATTAAAGACAATCGCATCAGTCTAACGCTTGGTGGACTCGCTCATATGCGGACTGGTCACACGTTTTTACATTAGGATAAACGAATAGCCTCCAGGGTTTCCCCAGCATTATTCGCTCTTTCCATTTTCTTCGCCTTCCGCATTCCTCAAGTCTCATGGTCGACGCACACAGTGGTTTTCACTTGAGTTCTGATAATTCGCTGGACTGAAAATAAAAAATACCTTCTGGACCAGAGAGAACATCTCCTCCAGGTCCAAGTAGCACCACTTTTGTCTGTAACTCAGCGGAGCTCGTTGTATCGAGCGGTGTGTATTTAACTCCCAATATTGTTAAAGGATGTGACGATCTCGTTCTGGTGTGAACTGATATCCGATGGCGGAGCACTTGGAATGGTCTAGATGATGGTTCTGATAAAGCAGTTTGACTTCGGAATCCATGGGTCTCTCAGTTACCAGGCCAGTTGTCCGTCGTGTGCATACCCATAAAAGGTGATCAGAGAAGGGACTCCAAACAAGTGCCAAAAGAGAACCGATTCAAATGCTCCAAAAGGAATAGCAGTCGATTAGTGATCGTCGTCATTGGTTAACTTCACGTTTGTAAGACACCCACGATGACGTTGCCAAAATAACCGCAAGGGAGAGACTATCCAGTCAATCTCTTCAAACAAATATCCTTGCACGCAGTGAAGTGAAACGATGTCGACAACTGCGCTGCCCGCCGTAGTAGCCTCCAGAGCTGTTGCCAGAGCTGCGCAACCAGAAGCGAGACAAAAGTGATGCAGTGATTAGCCCAACGATTGTGTGGATACTGAGTTCTTGTGTCCGATACGTAGCACACATTAAGTTCAAGTGAACCAAATGTGCAGGTATCAGCAGTCCATTGTCGCGATTACCTCAAAGTGCAGAAAGTGAAAGTAGATAAGAGTCGACGCTTCAAGATTTACTTCAGGTTACTTGAG